ACCTCAAGTAAGTCTCCAAACTCCGGTTTACTACTGTTTGCCCGTCTGTCTGAGGATGGTAGGTGGTGCTTCTCTTGAGAATAGTGCCCTGCAACTTGAACAAATCCTCCAAAATTGGCTGAGGAACACATTGTCTCGGTCAGACACTATCGACTTTGGAATCCCATGTAATCTAACCACCGCCCTGATGAATGCTGTTGCCACTATTACTGCGGTGTAGGGGTGTCGTAAGAGGATGAAATGTGCATACTTACTCAGCTTATCAACCGCCACCATAATAACTGTGAACCCCTCCGATCGTGGTAGGCCATTTATGAAATTCATGGACACTTCCTCTCATACCCTGTTTGGAAGTGATAATGGTTGTAGTAACCCACTTGGATCTATAGCCATGTACTTGTTTCTTTAACACACATACACCTTGCCACCATCTCCTCCACATCCTTATGCATACCCTTCCAATATAACTCAGCCGCTAGTCTCCTGTATGCCTTCTCTATCCCAAAATGGCCTCCAACTGCATTCCCATGAAACTCATGCAGTAGGTGGGGAATATGGATGGAGGTTCGTGGCATCACAAATCTCCCATAATATAAAAGTCTCTCTACGGATGGCTACTCGTATCCTTCATCAAATCCTCTCTAATCGTCCTCATCTCCTCATTCTGCATGCTCTCTTCTTTTATAGAAGTCCAGTTTACCATTAGTGGTAATGAAATTGCCATATCCTGGAGCTCCCCAATACATCTTGATAAAGCATCCGCCGCCTTATTTTCTAAATCTGGTTTGTACTGGATCTCAAAATCATAGCCTACAGTTTGAACAACCACCTCTGATGATCCTTAGTCACCATTATTATTCTAACAAGTATTTCAAGCTCCTCTGATCTGTCATGACAATGAAATGCCTACCCATCAAGTGCAGGCGCCACTTATGAATAGCCAACATAATCGCTATCAATTCCCTTTCATATACCGACTTCAGACTAGCTCTAGTTGACAGCACTTGACTGTGTAATGCTATAGGTCTGTGGTTCTGCATGAGTACGACCCCAACGCATATTCGGATGCATCGATATCTACTATAAAAATCTGTCTAAAATTCGAAAGAGCTAAAACTGGGATTTTAGTCATGGCTTTCTTCAGTCTCTCAAAAGCCTGGGTCACTGCCTCTCCCCTCAAGAAGCTATCCTTCTTCAGTTGGTCAGTCAATGACCAAGCTATGGTACTATACCCCCTTACAAATCTTCGGTAGTAACTAGTTAGTCCTAGAAAACCCCTCAACTCCCTCAAGTTCTAAGGCAGAGGCCATTTCTGCATTACTTTAATTTTTGTTTGATCAATCGTCACTCCTTCCAGGGATACCACATGTCCCAAATACTCCACACTAGCCTGTGCGGAGTTGCACTTCTTTAGGTTGGCCCTCAGCTGATGCTCCTGTAGAACAACTAACACTAACCTCAAGTGCTCCAAATGCTCCTCCTTAGTCTTGTTGTACACCAGTATGCCATCAAAGAAAATCAGGACAAACTTCCTGAGTTATGACCTGAACACTATATTCATCAAAGACTGGAAAGTAGCAGGGGCATTAGTAAGCCAAAACAACATCACTAGAAACTCATTGTCTCTTATGTATCCTGAAAGTTGTCTTCGGAACTTCTGTCTCCTTCATTCTGATTAGATGATACACTGAATTCAAATCCAGTTTGGAAAACACCACTGCTACATACAACTCATCTAAGAGCTCATTAATCACAATAATATGGAACTTATCCGATATTGTCCCCTTATTCAGTGCTCTGTAGTCCACAAAAAACATCCAGCTCCCATCCTTCTTTTTGACCAGTAAAACATGACTAGAGAAAGGATTCACATTAGGCCTGATGATACTCACCTCTAACATCTCACAGATCAGCTTCTCAATCTCATCCTTCTGAATTGAGGATAGCGATACGGACAAACACTGATCGGTGACACCCATTCCTTCAAAGTAATGGCATGCTCCAGCTCTCTCTGTGGAGGTAGGCCTTGGGGAGGTTGAAAAATCTCACTGAACTACTGTATGAGTGTCTGTACTGAAGAAGAAATGTCTCCCTCATCCTCCAATATGACCCCTTCCAAGCGATGCAGCTCCACCAAAAATCCTCCTCCCACCTCCTGTATGGTCATGATAAGAGATTTGAGAGATACTCCAGCCTTGGATAGCCTGGCGTTCCCTGAATCACCATCCTCCTCCCCTTACCACTAGCTCCATCCCTAAGTACTCCCTAATTGACCTTGGTATCTCCCAAGGTCTGTGGCCACTTCATTCTCAGGATGACATCAGTGCTCCCCAATTCCAAGGGAATAATATCCTCCCTCACCTGGATCCCATGAATGGTCAACACCACTCTCCTACATACTCCTCTACACATCTCCACCTTTCTCGTGCCCATCATCACCCCATAGCTATCTGTATCCACTAATTTTACCTCCAATAGGCCGACAATCTGATTGGAGATGAAATTGTGGGTTGCTACACTGTCTATCAGCACCACTATCTCTCTATTAGCAATTTCTCCCTTCACTTTCATGTTGTGATTTGGGGTGAATCCCACCACAGAGTTTAGAGAGACTTCTGCAACATCCAGATGCAACTTCTCTTCCTCCACCACTGACCAGCTCTCACCTCCCTCTTCAGTTTCCTCTTCATCACAGACGGTGAGAACCTGAAGAGTTCGGTCCTTACACCTATTCCCCTGGCATGTATTTCTTATCACATCTGAAGCATAACCCCCTATCCCTCTTCTCTTGTGTCTCCTTCTCAATAAGCTTCTTGAAATTACCCCCTCCTCCAGCTTTCTCCCTTGGTATTTCTCTTAAACTCCCTGGTGCAGGCACCTTGGGAGCTAAGAAGGTAGTGGTCATTCTATATGAACCCCTGAACTGCTCCCCCTAACCCTCTCTCCAGATACTTATGGTCCTCCACCAACTACGCTAGCTCTATGGCTTCCCCCAAGTCTCGTGGCCTCATCACCCTAACTACTGCTCGGATCTCAAGTTTATGCCCCTTCTTAAAATTTCCTTCTAGTACTGTCTCTGAGAGTCAATCTAGCTGGCTCCTGGCTAGCAAGGTACTCGAACCTGTCACTGTACTCTGCCATGGTCCCCTCCTGCGCAGGGCGAAGAACTGCTCATAGAAGTCTCCTCCCCTACTGGTTCAGAAACGTTCTAGTAAGCAATTCTTGAACTCCCTTCAACTCCAAATGGTCGCCTCCTTTTCCTCCATTGGTACTATGCTAGTGCATTCCCTTCTAAGCACAGTCTTGTAGCTGTCAATTTCTCCTACTCTGTCAACTCGTTAACTGCAAAGGATCATCCCCTTTATAGATCAAGCCATTTTCATCTTTTCCCTCAAAGATTGACATCTTCAGCTTCCTCACCTTCGAGTCATCCCTATTTCCCTTGAATCCTCTATAGCCTCCCATCCCTCGTAGAGGAGATGCTCAACAGTTGTCATGATCTTCTCTCCGGCGATCATACCCAAACTCTTCATCCAAGTCCCCTCTTCTGCTTTCAAAACCAGCACCCCGGCAATCGAAATCATCATCTCTTTTCAAAAAATCAGCACCCCTTCTTTTGTAGCCAATGCTCATCTCCTTCTTAGAAAGTGATTCTAGAGGAGACACTCTTTCTTCACCCTCTAAGATCACTTATGGATTTTCCCTTCCCCTAAACGTGTTAGGGTTCTCACCTCTTCCATGATCACCGATAGTTTCTATTGCTTCCGATGTTGTCGGATTGGGTTTGGCTTCTAGCAATTTCTTCAGCATATCTTCCACCAAGGCGAACTTTCCCTCCATCCTTTCATTAACGGATGCGATTTGATTTTGAAATTAAGAAATCTTTTCCTCAAAATTTGATTTGAGTTGTCCAAGTTCTCCCTCCAAGACTTCAACATTCCTTCCGACCATTGATATCCCTTAGATTGACATGCTCTGATGTCATTTTGATATAAAACAACCCAGAATAATGGAAAACAGAGCAGAATTTCAATAAACAACAATTTTTGCCAAAATTGTAGTAAAATCAAGGAGAAAACACTTTAAATTCAATAGTAGAGGGACAAGAAACAACCATATATAATGAATATTCAATTGAGAGGAAGATTCAACTATCCAAATCTCTAGCCAAAGTCTAGAGCCCAAAACCAACACCAAGATCTCAAATTCTGATTACCAAATTCAAGATAACCCTAACCCGAGCAAGACAAGACTAATTAAAATCAAAAGGACAAAAGTTTAATCCCTAAACAGCCCCTAATTTGAAATTTCTCTCCAATACAATGCTTAATTATTTAGTGGGCCCCATCTACTTAGCCGCCCCCTCTCTCCATGGTTCCGCCCCCCTTGGGCCCACCGCCTGTAGACTTTCTATTGTCTAAGACAATTGTTATCGACTAGTAGTCGTTGTGCTACCACAGACAGTTTGTATTATGACAATGCCATGATTGTGAATTTTAAGAACTTGTAAGAGTTTCAGTTTGGCTGGCTACTTATGCATTTTTTGTGTTGATATGTAATGCCCAAACATACCTTTGACAAAGTTAGATAAACAAAACTATTTTGACTTGTTTTGCTTAACTTTACCCTTTTTTTATGTACTTGACGCTTTCCTGTGTAATTTTAGAAAACTTTGCTTGCAGAATTCAACTAAAGGAATCATCCATGGCCCTACATGAAGCTGCTTTGTCCATTTTTATTGTTTTCAGCTGTTATAGTTGAGAGAGGAAGATTACTAATTTAGATATAGTAGATCAAAGGGAAGTCTTACTTCCTATAGATAATTTCTTGCTTTGGGCTTATCTTTCTTAATCATAACGTTATGAAATAAGCCTGCTTTGTCTGCATTAACTGTTTTACCATTTCTTTTACCACTGTAATGTGTTATTCTATTTGAATCCGTCATTTACGATATACTTGAATTACGTATCTTCTGTGTGGCATTTAATTTGTGATTGCAGAGATATGATTAGAGCCATAAGGGCCTGCAAAACTGCTGCTGAAGAACGAGCTGTTGTGAGAAAAGAGTGTGCTGCTATCCGTGCTGCAGTTAGTGACAATGACCAAGAATATAGGCATCGCAACCTTGCAAAACTTATGTTCATTCACATGCTTGGTTATCCCACTCATTTTGGGCAAATGGAATGTCTCAAATTGATAGCATCTGCTGGGTTTCCTGAGAAACGAATAGGCTATCTTGGTCTTATGTTACTTCTTGATGAGAGACAGGAAGTTCTCATGCTGGTCACAAACTCCTTAAAACAGTATCCAGTAACTTTTGTTGTTTATTTGGACCTATTTTGTACTTATTACAACTTTTAGCTAACATGACTTGTTTGAAATTCTTATTTGGTTCCCTTGACCCGTAGACAGAGATCTCAACCATTCAAACCAGTATATCGTTGGTCTTGCTCTATGTGCTTTGGGGAATATTTGTTCTGCTGAAATGGCACGGGATCTTGCTCCTGAAGTTGAACGATTACTTCAAAGTAGAGACCCAAACATTAAGAAAAAAGTAAAATAGCTTTCTTGCTATTCAATATATAATCCCTTGAAGCTTATTTTCTGTTTTTAATTTAGGACCTTCAAAGCATCAGCACATTTGCTCTTCAATTTATGGTTTGTGATCATATATTTTTTTGAAGTTTTTTTTAGATATCTTAAACTGCAAGAACTTGATAGAAATTCCTATATTCATAGTTTGTTTGGGTTTGTGTCTATAGAAATTCTTTGGATCCTCTCATTCATCTTAACACAGTGGGATTTTATCTTTCTGGCAGAAGACCAGCCTGTCGAAGGAAACTTATCTACACTATATTTGCAAAGCGTCTAAATATTTGGGGACCTTTTAGTTTTAATTCCCTTATATTTTATTGATTCATTGATGTGGGATCATAGAAAATGCAATTATTGTAGGGGGGCTAGGTATCTCTCTCTGTTCTTGCTTATGAAAGCGGTTACTTTTATCCAGTTAAAATTTCTTTGAAATTGGCCTTTGTTTGCTACAGTTCATGCACGTTACTGTCAACCTCATGAGCTAATTTTTAGGGTTTGTGATGAGGAAATCGTCAGCAATTTCGACACGTTTACCATCGGAGATCGACGATCACGATAAGGAGTTTTATTTTAAGTCATTTTATGTAGTAGTTTATTTTATTTTTCAGTTTTTCCGTTTTTACACTTATGGGTATTTAGTCGCTATTGTAGCACAAGGGACATTTTAGCCTTTTGTTTCCTTTGTCATTTTGAGGCCTATATATATGGCCATTTCTAAAAAAGGAAAGTTTTCAAATTCAAATTTCATATGAAACCTAATTGGAGGAGTTATTAATTTCCCTCCAACTTTTCGTTCCTTTTTGGAAAGAGCTTGGTTCCCCCCTTAATCCCTCCTCCTTCCCCTCTACATGCCGCCGGCCTCCTATGAGGCTTCCCCTCACTAATTGCCACATTAAACCCCTCCCCCATTTGAAATTAAAACATTAATTTCAAATAAATCTCCCTCCCAAATTTTCAAATCCTGAAATTAATTTCAGAATTTGAATTAAAACTCCTCCCCCTCTCTCTTCAAAATCGCCGGCCTCCCCCACTTTGCTCCCCTCATTAACTCCCCCATTCAAGGCATTAATGCCTTTGATTTGAAATTCAAATTCAAGTCAATTCCCTCCCAAACCTAATCAAATCTGAAATTAATTCTCAGATTTTGATTAATCTCCCATACACTCCACTAAACCTAATCTCTCCAAACCCTAGCCCCTCTCCCTTTGCACCCACCGGCCTCCCCCCCTTTTTTTTCCTTGGGAATCCCGCCGCCCACCCCTTCCCTCTTCTCCCACCACCCTCTCTCCCTACTCTCTCCCGTGGGAACTTTGAAGCCAAGAGGAGAAGAAGACGATGCCCTTCCACCTCCTTTCCCCTTGGGTACTCCTTCAACCCTTGGCGAGAATGCATGGCGGAACCCGAATGGAACTTTGGATTTGTGCATGACGATCGAGATCAAGTCGACATTATCCAATCACCATTCTTTGACGTGGGCTTTGATTTCGACGACACCATTGAAGAATACTTCGACCGTATCCACTACACCTTAGTTGACGTGATCGACGAGCAAAGGTCAAAGGGACGTTGGATCATCATTGGACGACAATCATCCTCCACCACTCCGGCCACCTATCCAAGGGCGACGATCCTAGGTGCCTTCTTCCTCGGAGTGACCTCGATTCTATTGTGGATAATCTTCTCTCGCCAAAGCCTAGTGTAGTTGAGTGATCAATCCCCGAGGTGAAACTCTCATTATTAAATTGTGGATTGGTAGCTAATAGCTCTTCGCATGGCTACTATTTTTGTTTATCTTCTAGATTTGGTTACTCTATATGTGCTCCTTCGCCTAAGCAAGTAGTAAACTAAGATTCTTTAATGAATTTGCTTGTTATTTCAATAAGTTATTAATTGAGATTTCATTGTCAATTATTCTTAAATTTCTTATCAAGCTCCTTTTGCATGTGGTTTTACATCAGTTTGACACCCAATTACTGCCTGCAATGAAGATCTTCACTAGACTGCTTTCTTTCTTTCCTGCTTTCTCCTTGATGGAAGGTGGAGCGCCAATATTTCAAAAACTTATTTTGTATGTATAAGGACAATGGTTATTGAAGAACTAATTTTCATAAACACACACGCATGCTATTATAGTAATCTTTTAACTTCTCTCAACCATCAAAAGTTTGGTTTTTTCTGATGTGAGAAGTTCAGCGCTTACTGTACAAGAACAAATACTTGAACTCATTTTTTTTGTTCCTTCAGCAACAACTTCTATTTCTTCCCTTTATAAGATGCAGTGTAATATGGCCGTGGCCAATTATACTGGAATAGGTTTGACCTTCTTTAATTTCTGAATAGCGCTGACAAGATTTAGAAGCCGATGCAATATGAATACATGCACACAATCAGTGACCATATCACAAACTAGAGCGCTATATCAAGATTGAAGTTCATCATTATCATCAACATTCATCAACTTCAAAGCAAGAACATTAATCAAACTTGGTCGCCCCCCTTTAGTTGATTTCCACCATTTGCTCCAAAGCAAGTAGCACCCTACCTTTCTAGTAAGCAATGTTCAGCCCCTTCCTTATTGTACAAGCAACATGTGATGTAAATCAAATTAACTCTCCTTCCTTATATGCTTGGCTCTCCAATCAAATAAAGATTCATAAAGCTTGCAAGCAATTGGTTCTAGTGGAATATTATGATGTGTTTTTTGTTTCTTTGCTCTATAAATACATGATGCAAGTCCATTTGAATCATATAATTGTTGACCTCAAAAAAAAAAAAAAAAAAAAAAGAAGAGAGAAAATCCACATCATACCTGTGAAGCCGGCTGCCCATCCTTCAAATCCTGCAAAATCTCGTCGTTTGCTACAGTGCCGCAGTCTGCAACGGCGCCGAAAATGTCCATTCGCGCATGGGCTCGCCTCGATTCCGCTCCTCTCAGCGTCGTTAAATACCGAACGAAGCCAAGGCCTTCGTTCGCTGCTCCCGATCCATCTCCTCCACACTTCCTCTCCCACAACCGAAACCTCTCCTGGATCCCGATTCCCGTTTGCTGCTTCCACGACCAGAGACTCGACTCCCGTAGCTGCTCTGACCAAATCCCGACCTCCTCTCCCACAGCAGCAGCCTCCGATCTCACTGCCCTAGTCCGACTCCGGATCCTCCTTGCCCGACTGCTCCTCTCCAAGCCGCAGAGATCCCGTCGATTCCCTAGCCTCACCCGACTCCACCCCATCCCGATCCTCCCGATCTCACCAAGCCGTCCAGAGAGAGAGAGAGAGAAAGAGAGAGCAGAGAGAGAAACTTCACCCTACGTTGCCGACCGAGCTTCCTCCTTCAATCTCCGTCGAACCCGAAGCTCCGAACTCCCCATCCCGTCTTCTCCTCCGACCTCTCCACTGTGCCGATCCCGATCCAGGGATCCCAAGTCGCCCCTCATCCGATCTCCACTCTGCCCGATCCCCTGCCATAGACGACGTTCCCTTCTTGTCGTTTTGAAAGTTGCGGCATTTTGATCGGAAGCAACATAGGGAGCTCATTTGCTGTGAAGGTAACATTCTCCCCTTCGCATGCTTCTTCGGCCGAAACCCGTAAGCCAGAGAAGGGAGATGAGGGGGTTTTTGTTTTCTTTTTATATATTATAATTAATTATAATTATTAATTAGTTATAATTAATTATTAACTAAGTATAATTATTTTCTAAACTCAAAACTCTGCTTCAATGTTCGTGGCGAACCGGAAAACCGCCCCAAGCACACCTTTGGTGCGCGTGGTGGGATGGGACCCCGGTGCGTCACCTACGGCGAGGCGGGGGTGCTTATAAGTACCCCCGGGCGGGGGAAAAATAAACTGTCATCTTTTCAAATAAAACGCTTTTTAAAAAACCCCATGCACGCCTTTGTTGGCGTGGTGGGAGAAAAACAAAAAACCGCCGCGGTGTCTCACCAACACCAACCGTGCACGTCTTTGTTGATGTGGCGGGTAGACGGCCTCTTGGTTTTTCCCCTAAACTGGGGAGACGCCGGGAGGCTGACAAAATTTTGTCTGAAATAAAGACAAGGACTTGGAACTATGCTCAGAACTCAAATCAAATGACTGAAGAAGGGCTTGAACTTAATTAAATGAAATTGAAGCAGTCATAACTTGAACAATTTGGATATGAAATTGTACTTGCAATGACAACAGGGTACATATGACTTGTACCTACACTTGAACATTTGAACTTCAACAAGGACTCATTTTGAACTCAGACTTGAACTCAAACAAAGGACTTGTAGACATGTATTTGAACTTGGTTTGAACCAAGTGAGAGTGACTTATGAACTTCAAAATGATATAAGGGGTTTTAATTCAATTTGAATCTAAAAGAAAAATACAAAAGGACATGCTATAATTTGAGCCTCATTTGATCATGATTTGAACAATCATGGGGACTTGTAATTTGACCAAGGGGGACTTGAACTGGATATTAATGAACTAATTATAAACTTGAACAAACTACAAAGAAACTCATCTCGGACTCTAATCAAATGACATTGTACAATGAATTTGATTGAACATTTTTGACTCAAACTTGAACTTGTATCTTGAGTCTCATTTGATTCAAAATCAAGTAGAACTTGATTTGAATGATGGCATCAAAGCTCCAATGAAATGATAAGGAGTTGTCACATTAATTTAAAGGTAAAGTACTCATTCAAAAGTCATGCAATCAAGTGCAAGTTAGTGATCAAGTGGAATAGTCGCAAACTTTCAACATGACATGTTTACAATCAATGGCAAATGAAGGATAATTATCTCAATTTGAATGAAAACACTAATAAACATGCAAGTGGGATGATGATATGCTAACAAAATATGCTTGGGGGAGTTGTAATGAGTATCACTTAAATACGACAATCAAGCTCCAAGAAGATACATCAAAGGAAATGGTCATCACAATATTCTAGTAGTCAACATCAACTAGCTAGTGAAGGAAGAATCCCTTACGAACAACTATGGGATACTTGTGATCGTTCATGAGCGATAATGGCATGCTTGAAGTCAATATAAATAGAACTGGCAATCCACTCATATGTAACATCGATTGAAATGATGTAGAAGTTATAGGTTCTATACAAATATAGCCATACACTCGTATATTCGACAGATTGTTCACAAGGTGGTGATGAAAGCCATGTAAATCAATGAAAGATACATATGATGCAATATACAATGAATAGAGCTTTTATAGATTATAGCAACATATATGCAGTGGGTATAATATCCTCATATGGTGATGCAATCAAAAATTTGGGAGAGGGACCCAAATTTTTGATCACAAAAAAGAAAGACTTCCTATATAAAAGAAATACTAAAATTGCTAAAGAAATCCACCAAATTCTAAAAGACATAAAAATAAGAAACAAATATACTTTTATAATATTAGAGAAAACTATTACATTTCATGACACTTACAAACTTGACTCTTAAAATTAAACGACTCAAGCAAGACACCTTAAAGTTGCTTTACTTAGAGAAGAGGGATACAGGTGGGGTGGTCACTTGCGGAGAGACGAAAGAGATTAGAAGCCGAGACGAAGGTTGGAAAGAGCTCGCAAGATTTCCAAAGGAGGTGGAAGAAGGTGGACAAAGCTCTCAAGCTTTTCCAAGAAGAACCTGCAGGTTATGGCTTCCAAAAATTACATCATATCACTTTTTTTTAAAACAGCCCAAACATCTACTATTTATAGGCACAAAAAGAGGAATACAAACAGCCAATATAACCCCTAATTAATTCAATTAAAAGGGGTAAATGAAAAGACAAAATTCAGTCCAGATTTTTGTACAGGAATCTGTCCAGAAATCTGTCCCAAAACAGTCCCAAAAACCCCTCAAATTCCATATAAAAATAATAGAAATGAAAAGCCAGAAGCCTTCCCTGCCGAAATCCCAAGAGACACATCAAAAATCCAAGCAGAATAAAGCCACGGGATCAACCAGGAACAAAGCAAAAGCCACGGTTTCAGCACAGGAAACCAGGAGGCAAATTACAGTCCCAACAGGGAATTTAAATCTTGGTCAAAAAGGTGCCATAGCAGTAAAGCAGGCAGCCACCCGAAGAGGCAGCAACAAACCCGAAGAGAGCAGCTGACCGTGGGAGAGAAATCCAGAGAAGAAAAACTGCAGCAGCCCCCATTCAAGAAGAATATGAAAGAACAAGTTCCACCCACCAAATCTTGCTCCCAAACATTAATTTTATAACTAAACATCAGCTCATAATGAGCTACAATTCCACTAGACATTAATGAGCTAGAGGAGTCAAAAATCAAATATTAGGATTTGATTTGACCCCCCCTTGTCTACATCATATGGTCAACACCAATCAGTGTGCATGGAGGGGTTGGTGACAGATGCATACTCCTATAAACTACTGTAGAAGACCCATAGTGTACACAATATAATGTCCATAAGCAAAGTGCCAAAGAGTTACAACGAATACAAGCATCTACGAACGAGGCAGGAGATTAGTTAGTGCACTACGATCCACCTATAAAAATCAACAAATAGTGCACGATAGTCTACCTGTACAAAGCAGCGAACAACTCAATTCAGAAGCTGCTACGATACGCCACCGGATTTGCAACTTCTATGCAAGCAGACAGAAGGCGTCAACAAAGTCTGAAATAAATACCCCTGCACGTGCACTATAAATTGTATACACATAGGTACACTAAAGGGGAAAGTACAATCTCAACCTGCATGGGTCCCGACGAGCGTGTTATTGGTACACACGTGACGTCTAGGGATGCTGCGCGAGTTATTAAATTTGAACCCGATCCTCCTATGCAGATAAAAGGAGTGGACAGGGTTCAATTATAAAATGCCCCCAAACCCGCATGGGCCCTGACGAGCGTGTTATTGGTACACACGTGACGTCTAGGGATGCTGCGCGGGTTGACAAGTGAATTCAGGTTCGAAACCGATCCTTCTATACGGGTCAATAGGGGTCGACAGGGTTCGACCCATTAAGCAAATATAAAGTTGTGGCGACCGGTATATTTGCTTTAAAACATTCATATTAGGCCTTCAGGGCCTACAACAATAAGAATTCACTATCAAGGGCATAAAGCCTACGAAACCCGATCCTCTGTCGACAGCCAGATAGAGTCGACAAGGTTCAAGCTTTAAATGGAAATGACCCCAAACACCCCGATGATGGCTGTGTTGAATGCAGATCCCAACCGGAGGGGTCCATTCCAAATATTTTCAAATGTCTCCTAAAA